TTTCTTTTGCTTTCTGCCCTGAGGCTCCTCAGCATTTCTGTAAGTACAGATTCCCTGCATGTCCAGGGAAATTCACAGTCTTCACCTGAGGTGTACAGTTCTGAGGTACATTCTATAAGACTCCTCCAAGAGTCCCTGGCAGAATCGAGCCCTTTGCCAAATGAACAAGTAAAGGGAAGAACGGAGCAGGTCACGGATGGGGCATTAAACAAAGCTTCATATCCAGCTTTATGTGTGAAGTGTATGATTTGCCATTTGGGCAGGCAAGTGATGACTTAAGTTTGAGCTGATTACTTTCTAAAATCATGGCATGAATGATAATTAAAGACCAGGTGTGGTTCCAGTTGCTAGTAGAAAACCATGCTCTTATTCCCTGTTTGGAATTATGGAAGGAAGTTTTGTTTGGAGGTAAAGAATTAAAAACCATCAAAACATTTTCTCCAAAGGCTGTTTAAAAGTACCTGGTTCTTGCTTACTGTCGCGGCCTTACACTCCTATGGCACAATTACTGAAGCAGATGCTGGCAGAACACAATGATATGTAAAATACAGTCCTTATTCCACCAAACTGAGGAGCTAAAATACCTATACTTACACAAAGTATTGGAAGTCTGTGGCATGCTCTTAATGTTTATAGACATTAGATTAGGCAGCATTCACAGAGTATATAGCACTTGAGCCAAACATTGAAGGATATGAAGAAGTTGGACAAAACCGAATACTTTAACTCGAAATTACTGTGAAAAGACAGAATGATGATGACATAAATTGCTTACAAAAATATAAAGTACTGGATACAGGCAGGGTACTGATCATGTTAGCAATAATGTTGTTTTCTGAATGGTTAATTCATAAAAATATAAAAATTAGGATTTAAACTCCCAGTAGCATTTACCATTGATTAAGGAATAGGTAAGTAACCTCATATTTTAATTTTGTTTTTCACTTCATTTTTACAATCTCAGTAAAAATTTTAAACTTAAATTGTTCTTTGTATTATCTTTTACTTATGGAATAATTCCAGTCTCAGCTAAAAATATATTTTTGAACATAAGCTCATGCTTGAACATAAGGTAAAACTGCCATTTGAATACATTTAGAATGTCACCCCAGTATCAAAGAGATGTCTTGAAATATCTTGACAGAATCTAATATTTTACCTAGAGTTCTTTCCTTCTGTTCCTCCCAAGAATCATTTCCAATAGAAAGAACTCTACATATGGAGTTATACTGTTTTAGAAATGAAATGCCAAAATACAGCCCCAGTATAGTCAAAGATACAGGAACCATTCCATCATGTTTGTAGTTATGAAAGTAAATTTTATTTCAGACACAGTCAGTGGACACAATTGGGAGGAAATATGTCGTGTGCTTTTAATAATGAAGCATATATCAATATTTATAAAGTGTAATGAGTTGGAGAACCATTTTCTCTAACTCATAGATTTCTCATGAAAGACGGATGTCACACTGAATAGCTAGATAGTGTGAGTTTAAAAATAATTATTCACCAGTGTCAGAATATTATTTTCCAGTGCCAGTAGAAAATTGTTATTAAACTGTAGAATTAAATATGTTATGCTAATGTGATGAGGTCATTTACATTTTGTGGACTAACTTTATTTGTTCTGCACTAACTGGCTGGCAGAGAAATCAGACAATATTTGGTGATATTTTAAAGTTGTAATTTCATAAGCATCTGGCTTAGAGAGTCCAAATATAAATCTGGAAATAAATAGTGCACACTATCTTCAGCTACTCTGAGGACTGAAACACAACTTTTCCCTGCCACTTCTCCACATAACTGTTCCTGAGAAGTCAGTTGTCATTGCTCTGGCAAGTTTCTTTCAACCTAAATTGTGCTAACATTTAAAAGAAAACTATGACGGGTACAAATATATTTTAAAGATAATTTTTTAAAATCACAGTAATTAAGAACATGTAAATGATACTGAACTATGGAAAGTAAAGCGTGTCTTCCACATTTGCTCCTGCGCGTAGTATAATACTAAGTATAATACATGAAATGTATGCTTTACATAAAAAGGATACGCTGTCACTGGTACTCTGAAGCTTTATTCTTTAACCTCAACAGTAATACATCATGGTGTTCGTTCTTCCTGTCAGTATATGTGATCATATCTCATATTTTCCAAAGAACATAGACTATACTGGTTTACAAATGAAAAAACTCTGAACCTTTGTTGATCAGCATGTATCAGATTTTATGTGTGTATTTACAAATATCTTTGCATATTTAATTCACATGAATTTTATATTATTTTTATTTTAAAATTGATATAACATTGTATATTTTCATCTTACACAACAGATTTTGAAGCATATACATTGTAAAATCATTAAATTTGACTAATTACTGAAATATATTACCTCACATTTGTGGTGATAGCCCATAACAGCCACCATCTTTACATTTTTCAAGAATACAATGTATCAGCATTAACTGTAGTCCCCTGGCTGTAGAATAGCTCTCTTGAAATTTAGATCATGCAATGTATGTCTTTTTGTGCCTGGCATATTTCCTTTAATGTAATACCCTCTAGGTCCATCTGTGTTGTTCAAATGGCAGGATTCTAGTCATTTTATGGTTAAATAGTATTACGTGGGTTACATGTGCCACATTTTCTTTACTCGCTCATCCACTGATTGGCAGTTTGATTACAAATCTTGGCTGTTTTGAATACTGCTACAGTACACAGGAGTACAGTATCTCAACACACTGATTTCATTTGGGTTATACACTTGGTAGTGGGATTGCTGGAACATATGGTAGTTCGATTTTTAACTTTTTGAGGAACCTCAGTATTATTTTCCATAATGGCTATACTAATTTACTTTCCCACAAATGTTGTAAAAGACTGCTCTTTTCTGTACATCCTCACCAACATTTGTTATCTTTTGTCTTTTTTATAATGCTCTTCTCACTGGAGTGCGGTGATACGGTGGTTTTGATTTACATTTCATTAAAGATTAGTGATGTTGAGCATTTTTTCATATGCCTACTGCCCATTTCTTTGTATTTTGAGAAGCGTCTATTCAGGTCTTCTGACCATTTTAAAACGAGATTATTTATATAGAGTTTGGTTTGTTGTTGTATTTGTTTTTGTTTTGCTACTGAGTTGTTTTGAATTCCTGACATATTTTGGATATTAATCCCTTGTCAGATGTGTAGTTTGCAAATATTTTCCTATCCTGTAAATTGTCTCTTCACTGTTTCCTTTACTGTGCAGAAACTTTTTAGTTTGCTGTACTATGGTTTGTCTGTTTTTGCTCGTATTATCTCTGCTTTTTGAGATTTTATCTAAAATGTCCTTGCCCAGGCCTATGTTAGCAGTATTTTTCCTATTTTTCTTTTAGCAGTTTCCTAGTTCCAAGTCTTACAGTTTTGATGTCTACTGAGAGACAAACTAATTTCATTCTTTTATGTGTTGCTATTAAGTTTTCCCAACACTCTATTGAAGAGACTGTTCTTTTCCTAATGTATGTTCTTGGTAGCTTCATTGAAAATCCGTTAAGTGTAGACACATTTATTTATTTTTGGGTTATATATATTTTTTGCATTGGTTTATGTCTGTTTTTATTCCACCACCATGTTGTTTTGGTTACTGTAGCTTTGCATTATATTTTAATTTCAGGTGCATTGTACTGCCTCAGCTCCCCCTGCCAAGATTATTTTGGTTATTTGGGGTCTTTAGTGGTTCCTTATGAGTTTTAGGAATTTTTTTCTATTTCTGTGAAAAATGTTATTTGTACTTTGGTAGAGATGTATTGAATGTATCAGTCAATTTGGAGAGTATGGATATTTTAATAATATTAATTCTTCCAATCCGTGAACATGAGCTATCTTTTCATTTATTTGTAACAAACAGTATTTTAATTTATACAGTTCATAGCCCTATAAGTATTTTTAAAAATTAAACTATGTAGATAGTTCTTTTTCTTATTCTAGATCCATACCCCCTAGGCAGTTTCTTTAGCAGTTGATTTGAAAACTGTCTCAGTGCTTATGAATATAAGCTTAGGCTATACACCTAATTTGTTGGTTTATCAGCTTTAAGTACTATGCAAGTGGAGCAGGACTGTACTATAAGGACATGCCAAACCCTTGACAGTCTCAAGAGATACGGTTTAAGAATTTCAGAACTCACCTGATGTAAACTATCATTTAATGTTTCCTATAAAGTGTGATTTAACTATCAGACTGATTCTGAACGAGGAGAGAGAAGCATATGCTGCTACTCCAGCCCACAGCAGAATGTGGGAGCCGTTTGTAAGGCCTTATTCACAATGCACGTGACTTCCTTCCAACCCTCAAGGACAGTGTGCTTACCTGATTGACAGATCATTGCAGAGATTTCTGATGTGCCTGAATGTGTGTTATGCAACTAGTCCAGAAGTAAATGAACAAATGAACAAAAAGAGAATAATATATGTATATGTTATATATGTATAATTATATATTTATAATGTGTAAGATTTATTTTCAAATTAACAGGTATTGTCTTAGATCTAATTTTTTATTTATCTCATTATTCATTGTTAGCCTTCGCAAAAAGCTCTCCTTCCTCTTCAGTTCACAAGAGTTCTGGTGTGAGTATTAGTGGACGGAGAACAGCAAAGCAAAGTAGGGATGTGTACAGCACAGGTGAGCTCATCGCTCAAGTGTCAGTTTTGTGCGGTCATGTTTGCATCCTGCAAAATTTTATCAGGGGCGTTCAGAGTTCTTTGTAATAGTTGAAAGTCTGAGTATTACTAATTCTGAAAAACAAACCAAAGCCATATTTTATACCTTTAAACTTGGTGGAAAGACTTAGAGGTCTGTGATTCTATTTGAAGATCCATCCTGCTGGGTGCACAATGACAAGGATCACTTGTCTGGAGGGTTGGTTACACAGTGCTTCGAGTTCTCTCTGCAGCACCTGAGGGTAAGTGAAAAGCCTGAGATGGGAGATACTAATGGAGTTCTCTGTTCTTTTGCAGACTGCAGCTGAATATGTAAAATCTCGACTCCCAGAGGCCCTTAAACAGCATCTTCAGGACTATGAAAAAGACAAAGAAAATAGTGTACTGTCTTACCAGACCATCCTGGAACAGCAGATTCTGTCAATTGACCGAGAAATGCTAGAAAAATTGACTGTCTCCTATGATGAAGCAGGTATGTTTGTTTTGACATTCACATGCAAAATTTTTTTATAGATCTTGTTTAAATTTAGATGTTTGCCAGGTATGGTGGCACAAGCCTGTAATCACAGCACTTGGGAGGCTGAGGCAGGAGGATTGCTGAGAGTTAGAGGCTGGCATGAGCTGCATAGTAAAACCCTGTCTCAAAAAACCAAATATATATATATATTTACATACATACATATATACCTTTTTCTGAGGTAGAAGATTAAGGGCAAGCGAGATTCAAAGTTATATAATCAGGTTAATAGTATCTGTACAGTTTTAATGTCAAAACCTTTTCAGGAGATTGCTAAAAATGGCTCTTAAATATCAAATACTTTTATATGTTTGCCCTTCTTTTGAAAAGTGGAAGTTTCCTCACCTTTTATCAAGCATGTATAACTATTGTTCTAACCTTCTAAAGTGTTACTTCAGTTTTGGATACCAGCTGAAAACTTTTGCATCTGATAATCCAAGAGCTGTTACTTGATTCAGGTATTTTCTTTTTCAGCTAGATATTTTCTTTTCTAAAGAAGGATTTAAAAGAAAAACTTGAACCAGGTGTGATGATACACACCTGCAATCTCAGCTCTCGGGAGACTGAGGCAAAAGGATCACCATGAGTTTGAGGTCAGCCTATGCTACATAGTAAGTTCAAGGCCAATCTGAGCTACATAGTGAGACTCTGTCTCAAAAAATTTTTTTTAAATTTTAAGCTGAACTTAGCTTTCTTCTTCATAGCAACTCAGATGAAACTGATCCCCTAATACCATAGCAGAAATTTTGATTTCCTGCATCCTTAAATTAATAAGGGAACTTATTAATGAAGTTGTGGACATACCTCCTTTTAACACTATTTTTATCTTTACATGATCTGTTAGCTAAAGCCCAGTTTCAGTGAAACTTGTACAGTATTACTTACAATTGTTAAATTATTTACTTCTTTAATAGAAGTAAATTTGTGCAGCAGAAATATCCTGGTTAAATTTATTGTATCTCTCCCACGAAAAAAGGGGGGAAAAGTACAGAAGAATGGATTTCTCATGTTCATAGTATTTTTCTCTATTTTAATATGAGGAACTTCTGCTGTTATTTCCATAACCTGCTTTTTCTGCCTGTCTCCCCTTCTCACTGTCCCGATGCTCCCTCCTGTGACTCGATCATCTTACTGCCGTAGGGATGGGGAGTGTGTAGAGGTCTTGTCTTTATCCCCTGCAGGGTGGACACTGGGTTGACTGGCTATTGGGCTTGTTGCTGGCTGTTTGGCCTGGTGGACTAATAGGGGAATTTGGGTAGGGTCTTAGTTACTTTTTCTCTTATTGCTGAGATAAAATACTTGATGCCCAGAGTTAAGGGAGGAAAGGTTTACTTGACTCACAGTTTGTAGAAATTACAGTCCATAGTCAGCTTGGCTCCAAGGCAGGGTGGTATGACAGATAGACATTGGAGAGGATAAACAGTTCATGGCAGGCAGAAGGCAGCAAAGCAAGCAAGAGACCTTAGCAGCATCTCTCTGCCTTTTTTATACTAGATTTAGGCTATTAGGATTAGGGTGGTACCAAACCAATCAGTGGAGTGATTTAGCAATCACCCACCCTTAATCCGAGCATTGCACCATGAATCAGTCACACACTCTAGATCCAGCCACCTCTGAAAAAGCGCCCCCATGACTGCATGAGTCTTTGGGAGGGCATCTCAACGTAAGCTGTAACAGGTAAGGATGGCGCCCTGCACTTGGTGGGGCAGTGTTACCTACACAGAAGCAGGTGTTAAAACCACAGACCGTCAGCTCTGAACCACAAAGCTGCTTGAAAACTGCTTGTTGTTCATAGTCACACAGGGCTTGCTTTTTCTACCCCCTAAAAAGGGCTCGGGTCTTTTAACTTTCCCCAGGGGTCTCTTCTGACCCTACAAGCACAATAATGCAAGTTCTCATTTGCATAGTATTTGTTAAATACTTAGCAATGCACTGTGCTAGGTAATTAGAAGAAAGAAGGGAGAGCACTGAAGAGATGGGCTGGAACCTGAGATGTAGAAAACAGATCTTCTTTAATGTCTAGTGAGGAAGCTAAAACATACTTGTGTGACCTGCAGGGAAAAGTTCCCTCGGAACCTGAGACTAAAGATAGCCTGTAATATTCATTCACTATTAAAGTTAAACTGGCAGGTGGGGGTCAAGGGATAGTGAAAGTGGCTCAGGTTTTACATGCACTTCTTTAGGGAGGGCATTAGTATAAACCATGAAACAGAAACGCTGAAAGTGCTTTTGTAAAGAAAAGAGGAAGGCATTTTAAGGCATGAAGGGCTACAAGTAAATGTCAGTCATAACCCTCCACCACCAATTTTTCCCTCTTCAGGAATAATTTTCCAATTTCCTGCGTTGTTATTGAGCAGCTATGATCCTCAGAGGTACGCATGTGCTTTGCATAGCCTGCAAGAGCAACAACCTGGGTGCAGAATTAGCCTATCCCTAAACTCTGCAACTGGAAATAAACAGAGGATTGAGAGTTAGACTCTAAATCCCAAGATTTTGCTCTAGCTTAACTGATGTTATCATTAGCAAATTAATTTCTTAGAATCTGTTTCTTCATCTATAAAACTGAGCCAATAGTATTTCATGAGAGTATTATTATAACAAAATGTGTCACGTTGGGATTATGCTAGAAATCAGATCGCAAATGCTAAATTGTGCCACTAATGCTGCATGAGAGCAGATTTGGGTCTTGTCTTTTCCTCAAACCACTGTAAAATATTTTTCATCTTTTTTTTTTTTTTTTTTTTTTGGTTTTTCTCCGGTACCGGGAACCGAACTCATGACCTTGCGCTTGCCAGGCAGGCGCTTTTGCCGCTGAGCTAAATCCCCAGCCCCTTTCATCTTTTCTTAGCATGCAGTATTTGCAGAAGTGGAGGGAATTATTAAAAAATGATCTTCGGAAGCTTTGAGAAGTGAAGCAGCATCTGAGCTGCAGATTTGGTGGGGCCTCTGTATGTATGGGCAAATGGTTCTCATTATATGTTGGTTTTTTTCCCTTTTTTTAAGAGTAGGAAGAGTTTATTGAGAGAAAGAAAGCTTCTGTCTAGGAGGGACAGAAAGGGGCCCATAAAGTAGGTTGCCTACCAACCCTGCTTCTCAAGGGTGTTTATTGAGGTGAGTTTAAGGTGGAACAGAATTATTATCAATTGATACGATTGCAAGTATAGTTGCTTAGGTAATACTGATCCAATGGCAAATCATAGGATGGGTGTGAGGAGGACAAAATTATGGTCAACCAGTAAGTTTACAAGTATAGTTGCTAGGGTAATACTGATTAAATTGGGAAACAAGTCACGTAGCAAGCACACGTGGGCTCACTGTATGTTGTAAAATCAAAAAGTCACTGCCTCCTCCTCCATAACTTACATATTAATGATTTCAGTCAAAGTAAGAGGAGAAAATAAGAAAAAATATACTATTTAAGAGGAAAACCTTTCATCATAATACAAAGGAATTCGGATAGAAACTTGGTAATAGCATCTAATCCCAGGAGATACAACCTTTCTATCCTAGGACACTTATTTGCTTCCACTGCTTTGATTCCTTGCATGCTAACCCGGCTGTTTTCACTTCTTAGTTGAGCTCTCCCAGGTCTAGGAAAGATTTGTTAGTTAAAAAATATTCTGGTCTCCAGAGAGGTTAATTTGTCTTTAATGCTCATCCACTGATAAATCAGCCTGAGTGATTTAATGACAGTTATCACCATCTGTGGCTTCTAAACTTCAGAGGCCTAATTAATAAAAAAGAAATCCTTAAACACTGTCTAAAAGCATTGACTTAGAACTCTTCTCCGCCCTCCCCCTTCTTTCTGTTTTCTTTCTGTGTACTCTCTTTGCTTTAAATAATGTGAACCATCCACAAGTCGACTGTCGAGCAAATTCAGCAAAGAAATGTGCAGTCCACATCACAGAATTAGTGGACAAGTCTGTACACCAGAGACTCTAGGTTATTATCCACTCTCCACGTATTTTTATTTTACATAGTTCTGACTAGTTGAGTTATATTTTCCAGTGTTAATTTTTTTTCTTATGCTAAGTGTTACACTGTTGGGGAGGTGGGATGCTGGGGATTGAACCCAGGACTTCATGCATACTGAGCAAAATATTGTACTTCCATTGCAGAAATAAATAAAAGATACAGAATAATATAGAGAATAATAATTGTTAGTGATCTTACTATTATAAATATTTTGGTATATTTTTCTTGCTCTATGCATTTAAAAATGTGATTGAATCTTGTAGTTTTATATTTTGCTGTTTTCTCTTAATGTTATTACATAAGTACTTCCCCATTTCATTAAAATTTCTTTGTATAAAAATAATTCAATGGCTACATAATATTTTATTTGAAGTAATCATTCACTAATTCTCCTATGTGGGACACTGATTTTTTTATTTTAGTTTTGCTACTGTGCCTAATATTGTAAGAAATATGGTATGTATTTGTGTACATTTTATATTACTCCAGAGAACCGATGGCAGGAAATGAAGGGTTTAGAATTAGAATGGGGGGAGGGGAGTGACACTTGGAGCAGGGACGCTGAGAACAGCAGAGAGTGGGAGCCTCCAGTGAATCCATAAAGAGATGCTCTCCGGTCCTCAGCCCTGTGGCACACGCACAGTCTTAGCAGCATGCATAGATGTTTATCATGGCGACCTTGTGTCACAAGAAAAAGTTCAGTACTGTGTATTATACCCTGGGTAGAAGACAGGAGTTGCAGAAACCAGGGTCTTAGTTCGTTCCGGCTGTTGTGACAAAGCACTGCAGACTGGGTGGCTCATACATGCAGAGATTTACTGCAGACGGTACGGGAGGCCGAGACGTCCAAGACGAGAGGTGAGCAGTTTCAGCGCCTGCACGGGCCTACTTCTTTGTAGATAGCTGTCTTTTCCCTCTAAGTTTGGCAGAGGGATGAGGGGTTTCTGGGGCCTTTTGTGAGGGCTCCATGGAGCTCTCCT